AAGAACAAATCCGTGGATTATTAGATCAATTATTTTCAAACAATGTATCGAACCGAACAACAAACTTACAACATGAGGTTTTGACGATGAGAGAGGCTCTACTTATATAAGACTTTTGCCACCAAAATCTGTGACGAAAAATTACTATTTTGGTTTTGTCCCGCCACCAAAAAATATTACTAAACTTAGTCACTCTTGAACCTCAAATCAACGGACGAGGATCTGCGTGATTCAACAAATAACTTCTTTGCTCCTCTCGACGCGTTTTACTATGGGTCATTTTTCGATAAAGATTTTGAATTGTGTCGAGTCATTATATTTGTTACAAGAATCACGTGCGATCAATTTTATTTTGATTGATCATCTATTTGCCTAAAACACGGCACGGACTGGTTTACTCGAGCAGAAAAAACTGAGGTTACTCGCTTGTATTCTGCGGATGTTTTCATATCAATATGAAAAGCACAACCCCTGCGCAAGCGTCTGCTAGGTATTAAGTTGAAGGTCGGGAAAAAACTGAGGTTATTCATCTGGATAAGCAAGGCGTTATTACCAACATACGGGAGTCTGTGCGAATGATTGCGGTCGACCAGATGGGTACGCTTCAACACTGGCCGTGCATTGACTTTATAATATACTTTATGGCTGTAGTAAAATAATCTATAGTCATGTGTCAAAATTTTTATGACGCTGATGTTTTCTGTTTCTGCAGGGAGTATTTTTTTGATTCTTCGATTATGATATGAAAAAATAACTTTATTATTATAAAATCTACTTTTCAGATTTTCGATCAAACAGTCAAATCGTACAAATCATTTACATTGGCAAAATACAACCTGGAAATTTGGGTGAACTTTATTAATAATATTATATCGGTGCATTATATGATTATTATGATTAAATAGAAGTGTAGGGGCAGAGACTAAGAGGGATGAACAAAGCATGAATATTCACGCCTGTCGGGATCTTAGATTCTTATTGCTACTAATAACGAAATTATCTTTTCTTTTTGGCATGAATGTGCTGGGCTTTCACCGATCCAAGCTTCAGCTTTATCCAACGAGGTTTGTATTTGGATTTATAAATACTTGCCCTTTATTAAGAGAATTGTAATGATCGAAACCATATGACCAAAATTTCAGCGACGGCCCGTCGTCGAAATCACAATGGATTTTATAATCTTTATTATTAAGTTAGTAAAGTTCGTCCACAGTACCTTCTTCCATCACCAGCAGGACTTTAGTTCTGTTTACGATAATTTCGAGAATGGGATCGAGAGAGATACACATGGGTCAATCGTAGAAACGATTCCTCATCAAGACTTGAACGATGCGCAAGATTTGAAAACCCCCCTCCAGATCCGACTTACCAAGCCGAAAAAAAGTCAAAACGAGATGCCAGAAAAGGTTAGTGATAAGAGACGAGGAAACATCAGTAAGTAGTTCATTTTTATTGTTAATCTATGTAAAGCAAGCAATACTAACATTTTACTCTATAGATTTGACGCGTGTTCGACTAGGGTTGAAGGCCGAGGATCCAATACCCGACGAATTGTAGTGCAATGGTGGATGGTTGGGTAAATCAAAAATAGATTGGGAAGGAATATGTCGATCTTGTCATTATCACGGGTTACACCCCAAAACTTTGTAATTATGTTATTCTAGTATATAATAAAACATTTAGTTGTTTCTCAAACATTTATCATATGACATCGCTCCCCCATTATAACGTGGAGTGATTTGCTTCACTTTGTGGCTATATATCGGATGCGTTAATATATATCAGAGACACTAGCTCCACTATAAAGCTCGATAATTAATTTTACCCTTTACTTTACGCTTTCGAATAGAGCGTTTCTTTACTGCTCTAGTCTTATGCACATGTGTATCTTCGGCATCAGAAAGAGATTTCTTAATCATATTCGTAAGCTCTTCCAATGTTAGACCAAGTTTACTCTCGCCAGAGGTAGTCGTATAATGGCCAGCTTTGCTCTTCTTCTTTCGAGGACAATTGTGAGAATTGGATTCTGATGAATCGGTCTCTGTTCCAGAATCAGAAGGGTTCAATGATTTATTTTTACTAGAGCTGTCTTTATTGCTATTTTCTTCGATTAATGGGATACTCATACCATCTATTACAATTTTAGCATGGCGGACATAGGTTTTGGGAGAACGTTCAAAGCTTATTTTTGCGAATTTGAAAGTCTATTACTTCAGTAAAATCTAAGCTTCGCCACTTTCCTTTATAACAAAACTGCAAATCTAAGCCTTTTATTTCTTCACCAATCAATTCATCACCAGATAAACATTTCAACCCATAATCTTCTTCAAGCTTATCGAACAAGCTCTTGCTAATGGTATTGGATTTAGATGTTGTATCGATTGATGCTTTTACTGGGATTTTTCCTTCGACAAGGGTATTTATGAACGTGTTAATATTAAATATATTTAATACTGTATTTTTTTTATTGCGTATTAATATATAATTTAACATAGACAATAACTGAAAATAATAATATTGAATTAGTGCTAAAGCAACAGAGTGTAATTGATTCATGTTCAGAATGTCCAATTATCACTTATGAGGTTGCGAAAAAATTGGGTTTCGAAAAAGATAAAAGTTTACCCGATAAAGTGGTATCTGATATTGTTAAGCAAGTATCAGGTAAAAAAATCTGGATCTCTCTTCACCGATTACTGGAGATAGTGAAGCCCGAGATTCAGCAAGATATTATAAACACGATAGTAAACCCCGATATTTCTCGAAGAAATCATACACCATGCAAGGCTAAAGAAAAAATAGATTTTTAAATGATACCGCATCTGAGTCCTCATCCACATCTGAATCTGGGTCTGAGTTTGAATCGTCTAATGATGATAAAGATTTTACTGTGGGCGTAGTGAAAGTGAAGAAGCGTGATTAGTAATTGTATAGATCTATAATATCTGATATCTTAGTATTTTTTTCTCTAGTCGTTGGAGCAATTGGTCTGTCATTCATCACACCAGAATGATCTGATGCTTCTCGATTTATTTTGTGTCTTAATGCTAACTTACAAAGACGGTTACATTTAGAGCGAGTCTTACCTTTGTGGATTATAATAGCATGATCAGATCCTATTTTTCTCAGATAAGATGAGTTATTCTATAAATAGCTAGGAAATTATTAATCGGGTGAACGTTTACATTACCATCTTTATCTCTTATTAGAAATGGAAATTTCGCCGGAATTGCTTTCTGGATCCAAATGAGTAATTTTCTAGCTTGTTCTGGATTTTTTTCCATAGATACAAATGGTCGGGGCTCATCTTTTGCATTTTTTGCATATCCAGTGCAGTACCAAGAATATTTAGGATCGTACTAGATGGTTTATAGTAATCAATACGAAGATTTGCAACATCTGCTGGCCTCATAGATAACATTATCATTATATCCATTAAATTTTGCATTGTAGGGGAATTGGTAATGTTACAATCCTTAAGTCTTTTCTGGACATTTTCCAAGTAAAAGAATTCTGGACAATCATATCCCTCATCTTCACGGAGTTCCTGATTTATTGCTTGTTCTTTATTTGATTTTTGAGTAATATCGGGTATATATATTGCTTCTAATGTAAGATATTTAGCATTAAGTATACGCAATTTTTTTCGAAGCAATTTAAGACGTGAAGATTGAGCTATTACAGTAGGAGCTGTTTTAGCTAAGTTATATGCTAGCGTATTTATCTCTTCGGGTTCAAGATTATCTTCATTTTCCTTAATATATTGAGCGAGCTTTTCAATCGGGTCTCGTCCTGTAACACGCCTTCCGGAAGCCTGGATAGGAATTAAAGCATATGTTTGATCTTTGCTAAATCCTAATTTTT